CACATGATCATCTCAATAGATGCAGAAAAAGCTTTTGATAAAATACAACACCCATTCCTATTAAAAACACTAGAAAGCATAGGTATAAATGGAGTCTTCCTTAAAATAATAAATAGCATATATCTAAAACCTTCAGCAAGCATTATATGTAATGGGGACAGGCTAGAAGCATTTCCAATAAGATCGGGGGTGAAACAAGGATGTCCATTATCACCACTGTTATTCAATATTGTACTGGAAACGTTAGCTTTAGCAATAAGAGAAGAAAAAGAAATTGAAGGCATTAGAATAGGCAAAGAAGAAACAAAGCTATCACTCTTTCAGATGACATGATGATATACTTAGAGAATCCTAGAGAATCAAGTAAAAAACTACTTGAAATAATAAACAACTTTAGCAAAGTTGCAGGCTATAAAATAACCCACATAAATCATCAGCATTTCTATATATTACCAACAAAGCCCAACAGCAAGAGATAGAAAGAGAAATCCCATTTAAACTTACTGTGGTAGTTATAAAATATTTAGGAGTCTAACTCCTGAAACAAACCCAGGAACTCTATGAACACAATTACAAAACACTTTTCACACAAATAAAATCAGATCTAAATAATTGGAAAAACATCAGTTGCTCATGGGTAGGCCGAGCTAATATAATAAAAATGACAATCCTACCTAAGCTAATTTACTTATTCAGTGCCATACCAATCAAACTACCAAAAATTATTTTATAGAGTTAGAAAAAATAATAAGAAGATTCATTTGGAAAAACAAAAGGTCCAGAATATCAAAGGAACTAATGAAAAGAAATGCAGGGGAAGGTGGCCTAGCAATTCCAGATCTTAAATTGTATTATAAAGCAGCAATCATCAAAACTGCTTGGTACTGGCTAAGAAATAGGGAGGTGGATCAGTGGAATAGGTTAAATATGCAAGACACAGTAGTCAATGACTATAGTAATCTATTATTTGATAAACCCAAAGACCCCAGCTTCTGGGATAAGAACCCACTCTTTGAAAAAAACTGCTGGGAAAACTGGAAAAGAGTATGGCAGAAACTAGGCATAGACCCAAATCTCACACCATATACCAAAATAAAGTCAAAATGGGTTCATGACTTAGATATAAAGGCTGATACCATAAGTAAACTGGGAGAACAAGGAATAGTTTACCTATCAGATCTATGGAGAACAGAAGAATTCATGACCAAACAGGAGATAGAGAACATTATGAAAAGCAAAATGGATAATTTTGATTACATTAAATTGAAAAGTTTTTGCACAAACAAAGCCAATGCAACTAAGATTAGAAGGAAGGTAGAAAATTGGGAAAGAATTTTTACAACCAGTCTCTCTGATAAAGGCCTCATTTCTAAAATATATAGAGAATTAAGACAAATTTATAAGAATACAAGCCATTCCCCAATTGATAAATGGTCAAAGGATATGAACAGACAGTTCTCAGATGAAGAAATTAAATAGTCATATGAAAAAATGCTCTAAATCGTTATTGATTAGAGAAATGCAAATCAAAACAACTCTGAGGTACCACATCACACCTATCAGATTGGCCAACATGACAAAACAGGAAAATGATAAATGTTGGAGAAGATGTGGGAAAATTGGAACACTAATACATTGTTGGTGGAGTTGTGAAATGATCCAACCATTTTGGAGAACAATTTGGAACTATGCCCAAAGGGCTACAAAAAGTGCATACCCTTTGATCCAGCAATAGCACTTCTAGGGCTATATCCCAAAGAGATCAAACAAATGGGAAAAGGACCCATATGTACAAAAATATACATAGCAGCTCTTTTTGTGGTGGCAAAGAATTGGAAATTGAGGGAATGCCCATCAATTGGGGAATGGCTGAGCAAGTTGTGGTATATGAATGTAATGGAATACTATTGTGCTATAAGAAATGATGAACAGGCTGGCTTCAGAAAAACCTGGAAAGACTTGTATGGTCTGATGCTGAGTGAAGTGAGCAGAACCAAGAGGACTTTGTACACAGTAACAGCCACATTATGCAATGACTAAGATTGTTAAACTGAACCCTTCTCAGCATTACAAGTATCTAAGTCATCTCCAGAGACCTTGGGATGGAAAATGCTGTCCACATCCAAAGAAAGAACTATGGAAGTCGAATCGCTATCATTTATTTTTACCTTCTGTTGAGTTTTGTTTCATCTTTCTGATGTCTCCTCCTATTGGTTTTAATTTTTACTTACAACTTCACTAACGTGAAAATATGTTTAATACATATGTAAATGTAAAGCCTATATCAGATTGTGTTCCATCTTGGGGACAGTGGGGGCGAGGATGGGGGAGAAAAATTTTCAACTCAAAAGCATATGGAAGGGATTGTTGATAAATCAAAATAAATTAATAAAATTTTTTAAAAATGAAAAAAAAATCTGCTTTCAATGCCACCAGGAAGGTCAATGGTCCAAGAAGTGCCCCTCCAGGACACCCCCCTTGGAGGAAGTCCCTGGGATGGACACCTTGTCCAAGATGTGATCAGGAGAGATATTGGAAGAAAAATTGCCCCCAAGGTAGGAGAAGTGGTAGAGCAGCTCCCCAGTACCTTGCCCTCCAGTCATCTCAAGACTGCAGAGGACAGGGTTGCCTGGGTCCTGGCAACACTCTCACTTTCTCTATCTCTCTCCCCAAGCCCTGGGCAGAAATCAAGACTGAAGTTAAGGTTACCCACTTTATCATGTCTATATTCTTTGCTTTAACCAATTCATGTGGCCCTATTTGCCCCTTAACCCATCTGGTCATGGGTATTGAAGGGAAAATTAATGGTTGTCTCCAGACATACCCCTTCCCTTGCCTATTTGAGAATCTGTTGTTTAAACACTCCTCCCTTATGCTCTCCTCTTGCTTTGCCCTCTTGTTGGGAAGGGACCTGATGGTTTAGTTGGGGAGCCAATTCTCTCAAGTTAAGCCTCCCCTATCCCTTTTCCCTCTGTGTGCCAGACCTCCCCATGTTCCCCCAGAAGTGTCGGAGACAGTTTGGGATCAGGGAACTCCTGGGAGAGCTATTCTTGCCACCCCTTCTGTTGTTCACTTCTGAGACCTTTCACCCAGGAGGCTTCTTTGGCCGCTGCCTCAGGAGTGCTTAATTTCTTGGCAACTTGAGACTATAGGGTCTCTTTGAACAAAGTCCAGATAGCATACCAATCTGTAAAAGCCACAAACTCCCTATTCCAGTCACTAAGAAACAACTTTGAACTGTTCTAGGCATGGCTGGATTCTGTGGACTTAGGATCCCTAATAATAATTTTATTGTTAATCCCTTTTATGATGCTCCTCTGGGTCCTGACTCACTCCCTCTAGAAAGAGACCCCGATCAGGCTAAAGCTTTTGTGATTTTAAAATCTAAATTGACCACCACTACCCTAACCTAGTCCTTGGGTACTGACCCTAGTCGGGTTGCTCATTTTTCAAAATAATTAGACTTTGTAGCTGCTGGATGGTCTGCATGCCTTTAAGCAGTGGCTGCTACAGCCATTCTAATTGAGGAAGCCTCTAAACTTATACTTGGCCTCCAAAAGTGGGAAGATAACTCCCTAGTTAAACTGGGAAACTCATTGGACCACTCATACCCACAGTGCAACTCTCATCTCTCACCACATGCATCTTTGCAAAAGTTCGCCTCCCTAATACGACTTTGGAGTTTATGCCAATCCATTTATGGTTGCCACTTCTCTAAGGGCCATTCTCTATGTGGACACCTTGCTTACCCACAGGGGAATATTCCCTTACTTGGGAGACAAACTCCAAAGCCACTAGACAAGCTAACACCCCTGTTGTGGGAGGGCTTGTAAGAGTTTCTGTTGATCTTTTGACCTGCACCACCGGTGCAGATACCACTAGTGACAAGAATCTTGGGGAGGAGGTGCAACAAAGTGCCAACACATGGCAAGGCCCCAGAACTACTGTCTTGGTCACCCAAAGTTTGACACCCTACAAAGACTTTGGGGTGTGAACCCTTGGATTTTTAGCACTCCTTTTCTCCATTTTAAATGCCACACAGTCCATTCTCTAATTTAAGGGCAAAACATGGATTTTGGGGAAATGTCCTCTGGTCTCTTAAAAAGAGAGCAGAGTATCTTATGCCCTGGTATAACTTACAAAATGAACGTATTCTCTCTAACCTTACAGAGACTATTCACCAATTGGTAAACATGATAGGTTATGGTCTCCCAGAAATCTAGCATTCTTTGGATTCCTTGGTAAAAGTGGTTCTAGATAATAGAATAGCTCTAGACTACTTGCTTGCCTTCAGTGGGGGTGCATGTGTTTTATCAAACACATCAACAACTCTGGGCAGGTAGAGCTCTGCTCTGAACATATTTTGGAAAAGGCTAGTTGGGTGCAAGAATTCACAATAACTTCAGTGCTCCAAAATCATCCTTTTCATGGGAGTCCTGGCTTGCTTCTATACTGGCTCCTATCCTTATTCCCCTACTGCTCATATTTCTCTTGTGTTTGTTTGGTCCTTGTTTACTAAATATTCTTGCCAGATTCCTTTCTTCTAGGGTCAGAGCCACATCCAGATGACCACTCAGGCTGTATACCTAACCTCTGACCAAGTCTGAGGTCTCTAACCCACTGAATCTGGCATCAGCTGGGTTTTGAAGTCTGACCCTTTGGAACAAGACCCCAGAGAGGCAGGGACAGCTCTATGCCCCTTGCCAGCAGGAAACAGTTAACCTCCATTTGACTCAGTTCCCTTAAATCTAAAGTGGAGCAAATAATAGCTCCTGTCTCTCAGTTGTTTGTTTGTTTTTTTGAAAATTAAATGAGATAATATTAGGCAAAAATACTCAGCACAATGCATGGTACATAGGACCAGAGACAGCATGGAATGATGTCTTGACTCCTGGGTGAACTGGATTTAAATGAAGCAGAATTGTAAAAGTCACTGGCCTCACTCTCTCTTTCAGAGTTATCAAAGTCCAGCAGCAGGACAAACATCAGGATAACTCGCAATGGCTGGGGATGCAGTGGCATCTTTGAAGTCCAACCAAGCTCTAAAGGCTCCACAGAGTCTGCTTCAGTCACCTGCGTGTCAGTTGGAACAAGTTCTCTTCATGTGTCCATTATGACAGAAATCTTCATATGCTTGGAGTAGACATCCCTCTATCTCACTGACGGGTTTGATACCTGTCTGTTACCCTCAATCTGGTGTAACCCATCTGCCAAGACGGTTACACTACAGCATGGCCCCTGTGCATGCTACAGCTTCTTGGAGCTAGAGATGAGAGTAGGGGAGAAAGGTGGACACCAAAGGTGAGCCATGGAAAGGCTTCAGCAAGCCCTCACCCTAGAGGTGCTAGTCTTCCCCAAACATCCAATATACTCCCTGGCACATAATAAGCACTACATAAATGCTTATTCTGTTTCCATTCCCCACCCATCTTGATCTTCTGAGTAAAGTAGGAGCCATGGTGGTCTTCTGAGAAATGGAATGAGGGTGGATTTGAGGCACTGAGGATGGAGCGAAAAGGTTGGAAGAATGACTGTGGAGAAGGTGATACTCACCCAGACAGACATGTGAAGGTTGCAGTTATATCTGTGAGGACTTGGGTGGGAAGGCTCTAGGGAACTGTCCTTTGGGTGATAAGGGTGGCTTCTGGGTCCAGCTTGAGCTCACCAACCCTGTACATGTCAGCAGGTTCTTCCTGTCTTTGGAAGAGAGAAGCTCTCTGGTATGACTGGGTGTGGCCCTGGGGGAGAGTGCTCTACCTCACCTTCTGCCCTTGGCCTGAGCCACTCTCAGCTGGGTAGGAAGCCCCTTCAGCACTCCCTGGTAGAGCTCACTCCCCTGGTCACTAAGACCTCAAAAGTTCTCCTTCATTCCTGGTTTTACTCCCTCAGGGAGTTTATGGAACCCATGATTGGCTGGCTCTTTTGGAATCCATCACTCAGTAAGCATTGATCAGGCACCTATTATGTGCTGGGCTCTAGGGTAGGCACTGGAGATGCTCAAAGGTGTCACTGTTTCAGTCCCTGCCTAACACCACTCCTGTTTCTCCAGCCCTGGCTTCCTTCACTTGTACTCTTGGTGCCCCTCAGATTTTCTCAGGGAGGCCTGACTCAGAGACCATCATGGTGAGCACAAGCCAGAGCTTCAAGCACAGCCAGGAGTCAGTCCATCCTTGGCATGGGTCAGCTCCTGAGAAAGGCACCCATGTCCCTGAAAAGTCATAGCAGCTACTAGACCACAAAGGGGATAGGAAGGTATGCAGGAGTTCAGTTCCTCAATGAACTTCATGCACAAGATAGATTCAAGCAATAGCATTATTGTCTGCCTTAGCTTTCCTCACCAGCCTTCAATCTGTCCAGGCTTTATTCCTCCTGAGATTGCTGGCCCAGTACTGGGCCTCCCTTTGTGTCTATCCTGCACTTGTGCAAGTTTCTCTGGGAAAGACAGCACCCCTTTGCAGAGATTCAGGGAAAGATCTTGGACAAGGTAGCTGAATGAGTGAAGACCATGAGAATGAGACCAGCCTTAACACCCTAAGCCCTTCATTCAGGGGTATAAGGAAGCTCTATTCGAAAGCACGGATCCTCCCATTGCAGTGAGAGAAGTCATGCTACTCTGGTAGATATGAATTGCTCCCTTCCCCAGCACCACACCCAGATCTTGCCTATAATTATCATCTCTTTGCTGAAGACCCAAGACCTTCTCAAGGTTTGGAGCAGGTCCTGGGAGGACCAAATCTTTCCCATCAGAATGTTAGTTCTGAGAGCTGGTTCATCCAGCCAGATTTTTTTTGAGTGTGTGCTGACAAAAGATGGAGTCTGCATCTTGAGGATCAGCCCAGATAATATGGAGAAACTCAGCACCAACCAGGTAACCTGCCATCTCCCTACTTCCTTCTAGCCCAATTATCTACTTCCTTCCCTCACACACCCTCTGAATGCTAACTCTGGTAGGTCTTTGCCTTGCCAGAAACTGTTTGAATGGTATCTGATGAGAGGTAGAGACTGCATCCCAAGAAAGAATCCTGCTAATATGAAGAAGCTCAGCACCATATCTCCAACCTCCTTTCTCTTGCCCAGATCCCCCTTCCTCCCCAGAGCTCTGTATCTGTCGGGATAGGACCATTCAGCACAATCTGTCTCCATCACTGCGCTCCTCATGACCTCTCTCCTATGTTAACTTTTTCTGTGAAATGGGCCAGGATCTGTAGGAGAAAGGAGGCCTCTCTCCCTGGCTCTTTTGGGAGACATTTCCATAGTGAAGGGAGGTGGAAGGAAAAGAAGGAGGAAGGGAATAAGAATTTATTAAAAACCCACTATGTGCCAGAAAAGTGTTTGAGAAGACATTCTAGTGAAAGTCAAAATACCATTAAAAGCCTGTTGGTCTTTCAGAGACCAAGACTCAAGAGGAAAGAGGAAATCTAGGAAACCCTGAGATGCCAGTATGTCCAAAAAGCAAATCTATTTTGTGGGAAGAGAGGGAGCATTGAAGGCAGAGGCTGTGTGCTGGGCATGGGTGGGGGTTTGGTGCCTGAGAACAGAGTGAAGACCTTTAAGATTTTTTCTTTGTTTTCTCTGCCACGAACAGTGACCTTGGGACTAAAAATCATGGAACATAAATAGCCAAAGGAGAGTTAATATTTAAGACAACCAAGGAGAGAGCAAGAGATCCCTTAGCTGCCCTGGATTAATTCAATTAATTAATTCAATTAATTCAATTTTTCTGACCCATTGAGAACAATATCCTTAGGTACTAAAGAATAAGTGGAGCCCACCCCACACACCCTGCCTCCACTGGGCCTTTGGGAGCCAGGCCCCATGGGTGAGGATGGAGGCAGAGCAGAGCAGAGGAGGCTTTTTTAGGGAGCAGACTGGAGGAAGGCAAGAGAGGATTAGCACGCTACAGATGGCTTCATATTTGAGCTATAGAGTTGGCCAGAGGATGTTGGGGCTCAAAAATTAACTTCAACCAGCTTAAAGAGTCACTCAGCTTCATCAAGATTCTCCAGCTGGTAGTTATTTTTAAAATTTTTATTTTAATTTTTAAATTTTTTTTATTGCTACTTGTGGAGGTTTTAAGGGCAAAACAAGTTTCCAAGTTGCCTGCCCAAGTCATGGTCCTAAAATGAGACAGTTGAAGCTTCCTTTGCCTATCCATTCAGGTTGAATCAGGTTTCACTTAGTGCAACACTGGAGCTTCTGTAATATCACTTGGAGCACTTACATTCTTCTAAGAGATTTTCCTTCTTCTTCCCATTTCTATGTTACATTTGCTGCATTGGTCTTCCTATACTGCATTGCTGCACTTGTACTTTATATTTTTTATATGAACCTGTGGTTGGGAATGTTGCTTCTGCATATCACTCATTAGGGTGTGGATAAGTCTCCAAAACCCCTTGAGTACCTGCTGGGGTACTGACTGCTGTAGGCTGTTGACAAGGAAATGTGGGGAGTGGGAGATGTAATTAGGGGTAGAAACTGTCTTGGGGAAATTAGGCATTTCAACTAGGTTGTAAACCCTGCATTACCCACCCAATGGGGAAACAGAGGAGGGAACCGCAATTCGGGCCTAGGAATAGAAAGTCTTGCTCTCCCTTCTGTAAAGAACACCTGGTCTTGCTAGGCCATCAATATTTTTTTTTCTGGTTCACCAATGGCTTTTTGGAACTTTTGTTGCTTACAAATAGGCGCTTGTCTGAGATGCAAACATCCTGAGTAGAGGGCGACCACCACTGAAGGACAGGAAGATGCATCCTGTTGATTTCAATGGTCCTGTGTATCCTCAGTGGACATCCCAGCCCATGGACTGTTCAAGATCCTAGGACCAAGTTAATGAGTGAGGCCATTGCTGAACCAGCAACAAAGAGAGGAAAGGGAAAGTAGGCATGAGGCAACCAAGCCACTCTGTGCACTGACCAAGATAAGAAAAGAGAACTATTAAATATTGCCTTGGTGGTTGGGACCAAGGTTAGAAAAGAGGACTATACTAGGGGGCAGCTAGGTGGCACAGTAGTTACAGCACCAGCCCTGAAGTCAGGAGGACTTGAGTTCAAATCCAGCCTCAGACCAAACACTTGACACTTACTAGCTGTGTGACCCTGGCCAAGTCACTTAACCTCAACTGCCAAAAAAAAAAAAGAAAAGAAAAGAAAAGAAAAAGAAAAAAAGAAAAGAGGACTATTAAGCACTACCTTGGTGGGGCATCTTATTGGGGTCCAGACACTTAGTAAGTCTTAGACAAAAACGTAAGATGGGGATTAAGAATTTAAAGATGCCAGGGAAACTAGGGGAAATAAGGAGACCCCTGTGGACATTCTTCCAGATAGTTCCTTACGGAAGATGTGGAAATACTATATCTTCCCTGAGAAAAAGGAATAAATTCAGCCATAAAGGAGAAGCAGAGACTTCCACTGAAGCCTCAAACCAACATCAGTGAGAGATCTTCACATTAATTATCTAATCTGGGATTCATAGAGGACGGTCCACAAACGTTCATAAGCCATATGTTCATTGGCTTGTTCTGCTGAGGGTATAAGAAATTGTGCATCAGACATACAAAAAAAAACTTCACTGGCAAAAGCTTTTTTGTCTGTCTCTATTTTGTAAACTAACTTTTTTTAAACTGGGAAAGGAATGGGAATCTTTCTGAGAAGTTTTGTAAGTCTTCAGGGTGACAGTCTCTCTCTGCCTCCTGAAACTGGACAAGTAAAAATAACACAAGAGACATAGATATGCAGGGAATCTAGGTCCACAGAGAATTTATAGCATCATAAACCAATGAGAGACTAATCAGAGATTAAAATATAATTTCTTTACTGTGAATTTCCAAATTGTAGGCTGAGAGCTTTTGCAAATGCTAAAATATCTAAGTAAATTTTGGGGATACATTCTGTAAAAATATGTCTTAAGGAAAAATAAGAAGTTAGGAAGAGATAAACAGATTTCAAACAGGTACGGGCTGTCTTTCTCTAGGTGCTTCCTTTCCTCCATTCAAATTTTAAAAAAGATATAGAAATAGTAGGCAGGATTTAATTTTAGATCCACTCAAACCACCTGACACAGAAATTATCATCATTAATTTT